GTCTTTGCACGGCTTGTAATTTGAATGTTTTTAGTCGCCCAGACTTGCTGCAGGTTGGCAGGAGGCATTTCCCAGCATCAGTCATCTCTGATACCCAGAAAAGAAACAGTAAAATTAGAAAAAAAAACAATAATTCATTTCAAACGTTTAGGTGCAATATTCGCTACTGCTATTCAAATATAAATAAATAAAATAATAAAGGTCAAAGTTAATATTGACCTGACCTTTAGCACTAAACGTTGACCTGCAAATAGAAAAATAACATCAGAAATGAATTCTACACACAAGAAAACCCTTAAAAAGAGGTATTACACACTATAGTAGGACGGGTGGGTCAAAATTTACATTTTCAAAATGACGTTTGGTGGCCATCTTGGATTATGCAAATTAGCAGAGTTGCCCAATGTTGCAATTTTGGCAACCAAGCTAAAATTGTTCTTTGGTCCCATATGAATGTAAATCAATAAAAAAACTTCATAGGAAACAAAATTTCTAGGTTCAAGAAATGACAAATCGACTAAGTGAGGTTATCATTGAAATCACCAGAGCTAGTAATTTGAGCGGCAAGATTTGGACCGATATTAACAAAGTGGTCATTGAACTCATCTGCAATATCTGAACTAGTGGTCAGTATTTTGCCAGAATTGCCTGAAATTAATTTCTGTGGAATAGTTGAATGATTAGATTGATTAAGGACTTTGTTGACCACTTGCCATGTTTTGTTGCTATTACCACGGGATGCTGAAAATTTGTTTGAATAATACCGTTTCTTGGTCGATTTTAGTAATTTAGTTAACAAGTTTCCGTAGGCTTTATATTTATTCAAAAAATTAGTATCAGTTGGTTAGTTTTTCAATTTGCTGAATAATTTATGTTTCCTTTTGACCGATTCAAGGAGACCTTGTGATAGCCAGGGTTTAGGTTTCAAACTCTAAATAGCCGACCCATTGCAGTGTTGTTTACTATTTTACTATTGAACAATGGGAACTCTGTCAACTCGTGACATGATTTGTTGATAATTGATCCATACCTTACTTTACTTAAATGACGTTGATGATATTTAAAATGTTAAGGGTGCTATAGATTAGTTTTTAATTAATAATTGATGATTGGTCGTCATTTTATTTTCCAGGTTATGAAATGACTAGTTGTTTTCAATTTTCTACATTTCCATGGTTACCACTGACGTCTACAGACAAACAAGTTCTCACCTCAACTGACAGGTAGGACTGACATAATATTTGTTTTTGAAATGTCAAGTTTCTCATTAGGTATGCAGTAGGTCACAAGGTTTTAAAGTCAAATTTAGTGCCTTCTGTTTGTTTCTAATATACATGTATAACAAAATAAGGACTCAGAAATCTATAACTATTCTTCCATATCATTAATACAAGTGACATCATTTTGTTATTCTCATAAAATAGACATTTTATATGTTCTGCTGTGGGCCCTAGATGGGGATAGCTTGTTTTTATGCAGTTTTTGTAAACACTATCTTGCTTTCTTGTAGTTCTCTGAGAAGTTCAAATCCTGTCCTTGTTGCTAATTCATGTGAATTTCTAAGTCAAGTGGTTTTGAAGGATTTTCCAGCTGAGATATTTCTACAAAGACCAAATATTGTGCAGGTTTGTTGAACTACTTTTGTCCTATACTATAGTTACATATACTATACTATAGTTAAATTGCAGTGATGTCATAACTTATTCTGGCTGGCTATCTGCTAGCTTTGCCTTTCCATAAAAACTTACAATCCAGCTTTTAATGCTAGCAAAATTTTAAGTTGTGCATGTACATACATGTCACTGGATAATTAAAAAATGCACACAGCAAATATAATTACTTCATTTAACCATCACCCCCTTTGTCTCTCTCTCTCTCTCTCTCTCTCTCTCTCTCTCTCTCTCTCTCTCTCTCTCTCTCTCTCTCTCTCTCTCTCTCTCTCTCTCTCTCTCTCTCCTCTCTCCTCTCCTCTCTCCTCTCTCCTCTCCTCTCTCCTCTCCTCTCTCCTCTCCTCTCTCCTCTCCTCTCTCCTCTCCTCTCTCCTCTCCTCTCTCCTCTCCTCTCTCCTCTCCTCTCTCCTCTCTCTCTCCTCTCTCTCTCCTCTCTCTCTCCTCTCTCTCCTCTCTCTCCTCTCTCTCCTCTCTCTCCTCTCTCTCTCCTCTCTCTCTCTCTCTCTCCCCCCTAAATGAACGTTTGTACATATGTATGAACAATATGTAGTAACAAGGCTCAGTAACAGGGGCATGTGGCTATGTATTTTAATATTTACATGCATGGTTGCAATACACTGGTTCTGTAATATTCAACTTGTGATTGCAGGCAAATATCTAATTGCTAGATTTAATAATTTCTTGTAGAGTTTACTGGCATTGCTGAAGTTGAAACCACCACATGAACACACATTACCATTATCAGCTGTAAAATGCTTGAAAGATCTATCCATCAATTTACAAGCACGGATTACTTTCTATCATGACCCAGCATTGTACTGTCCTAAGCAAGGTAAGTGTGGTTCATAAATTGATTAGTAGCTACATTAGCATGTATTCTCTTCAATGGAAGTGTATTGTCTACTCACTAGTTCCATATTTGCTTATTAAAAGTATATCTCCCATAGACTAAAATGGTTTTGATGTGTTTCTAAGTACCGGTACAACAAACTTTCACCATACTAAGCAAATACAAACAATTTATTACAAATGCAACAGACCATTTTCAGATTTCTTGATTTAAAAGTGACACTTGTTTGGTGAATGACCTCCATTAAATAAAAATTGTTGTATTTTCCTTTTCAGTTGACTTTGGTACGTCTGGTAGCAGTAATTCCAGTTCTAATAGTAACTCTACCTTACAATCTAGTCTAATCAGTGTAAGTAGGCCCACAGTATTGGGTTATTCAGGTCAGAGGTTACGTGGTGATGGACAAGAAGGTGATTCCAGTCTAACATCAACTCCTATGTAAGTATACACTGAAAGGATGCACATCAACACTTAAACTAATGTTTCCTGTTCATTTAATGGAGTCAACATTTTGCTTCAGGATTACAAATGAATACAAATAAATAAAACTGAAAACAGATGACAAAATTTTAAAAGAAAATTAAATAAATCTTACAAAAGAAAACAAAGAAAAACTTACTTCTGTGCGATGCCTAATGGTGTAAAAAAGCAGGCCACAATTATAGGTGTGTCTTTATGGTAACTGATAGTTGGCGTTGGCACATACATGTATGTGTTCTCACTGTCGAATATCGATACCTTGTGTGTGTGTAGCCATTTTTTCATCCATAAATAACATCTTAGTTGCGTTTTCAATAAATGTGAACAGATAATGTAGTTTTATTTACTCTCCACACTTTTATTGTATATGTATTAGCATGACATGGATTGTCCAGCCACATATGGTCAATAACATCTTTCTCATTTTGATAGGCAATCACCACGGCATGGTAATATATTACAGGAATCCTCATCAGATGTTGAAACAGACAGTGAAGACATGATAGCTTTACAGTTTGGTCAGATTACTGTACCTCAGTTCTGTATACTGGTATTAGAACATGCTACGCCGTTGTTGAAGACAAATAATGCTGACATGGTGGTCCACTGTACTAAACTATTGACTGAGATATTACAGTTGTTAAAACAAGCTATTGGGCAAGACATCTGGCAAGAGAAGAGTGTGGTTGCAAGAGAAGTGGTATGTCAAAGTGTAGTTCTTGACTTTATTATTTTCTTTTTCAACAGTTGATTTCTAGTGCCTATCTAATAATCAGAAATTGTTTTTTGGATGCATGAAAAATAGTAAAATCACCAGAAAGTTGTTTTTGATGGAATTATTGCCACTACAGCTGTACTAAAATTCATGAATGGAAGCTAAATTGATTTTAGTTTTTAAAATACGTGTAACAATATACTTTGCAACATACCGTATAAACTCGATTAATTCGTGGTCTCTTTTAATTGGCGCACCCATTTTATTTTCGAACGCTAATTTTTAAATGTATTCTTTTAAGGTAGATATGCAGTTTATTTGTGAATTTCAATCAAAAATATTTTTTTTCGTTTTTTATATAGATTTTTAATCTAAAGAACATTCTGTGAAAATTTGACCAATGAATTCTTATTAGAACACCGTTAAAATTGCTGGTTATTTTCTGATTAAAAATAAAAAACACTCACATGTGGCAATGTTTATGTCCAATTGCCTAATTTGCATGAGTAATCAAATAACAGGACCTTTGATTGACAATATGCAAATCGAGATTGTACTGGTCATAGTTCATTCAATTCACGCGCATGTGCAATTATTCTCAAATCAGTTATCGCTCGCTAGCAAACCAAACATTATATTTCCTCAGCGTTTTTTCCTAATTTTTATCATTACATTATGCGTGGTGTGAAAAGAAAGAGGTAGAAGAAGATTCGGATGATTTCTATGTCGGAGAGGCAA